TCCCGCTCCATTGTAAAGCGTATATTGGGGTGTTGATTGTTGATGTAATTGAAGAAAAGGGTTGCATCCCGTTCAGAGTGGAAAAGGCAAAATGTATCGTCTACGTAGCGACGATAGAATAATACCTCTGAATCCCCGTATTGATCCAACCATATATTCTCATGGTGACCCATAAAGAGATTGGCGAGAACAGGGGCAAGGGGGGACCCCATGGCTACACCATCCACCTGATCATAGAAGTTACCTTTGAACAGGAAGTGAGTTTCCTTGGTAGCAAACTCAAACAGCCTTTTGAGCTCATTTTTACTAAGTTTCAACCCTGGATTACCCTCAGTAATATATTTGACGGCAAGGTCGATACAATCATCTAGAGGGATGTTGGTGAAGAGGCTTTCAACATCGAAGGAGACCATAAACATCCCGTGCAAAGATAGATCATTGATTTCCTTCACAAAAGTGAAGGAATCTGAAGCAATGAATGTGGACGGAATATGAGGTTGGAGGAGATTACTTAAGTATTTAGCCAAGCTGTAGTTGTAGGAGCCTATGGAGGAAACTATGGGCCGAAATGGATGAATTTCGGAGTTCTCGTTATAAATGAACTGATTTTAGTTAAACTGGTGTTTTAAGTAGTAGGCAAATAGAAGATGTTTTGAACAGTGGCAATCAATGTTAAGGGGAAATAGAACAATATAAACTTTGGGATCTACTATACCTAAATGAATTTTTATGTAAGTAAGCTGTTTTTTATTAAAATAATTTCATTTTCTTAGGTTACAGAACGATAGCATTTTTCCCCATACAAAGCCTTATATTTCGAGTGTTACGCAACAATGTCGATGCTCGCCAATGCTCACATTTCGAGCTTGGGCTACCTGTGGGAACCGTTGCCCTTAAGAGGAGAACAAAAAAAGAATGAAGGGCACATACTGGTCATTTCTGAAAGCGTCTTTTAGCCAGCAACAATGAATTTCGCAGTCGGTTTTGATTTAAGGCTGCCTCACAAATTGATGGAACAAATGTTAAGAGAATTACGGCATTTAGAGTTGTTTAGGTCTACCTTGAACCTCCAAAGTTAGAGTGTCCATGGCAAGGAATTATTATCACTTCAAGGACTTGGAGGTTGTCTTCTCGAGTAATTAGTGGACTAGCCGTGGGGCATAAGATTGCTTTGGTTGGCTTAAACGAACAAATATTTCTCCTTTTTGTAAGAAAGGAATAAACCATACAAGAGGAAATAATAAGAAAATGTTTACTTAACCTGTAGTATACATTGCACAAATACATAAGCTTAACCGAAACGATATATTTGATTCAGTTGTATTTTATAAATATTGCCTCAGAGTTAAAGGGGCCTCGTATGATAGTAGTTATCTAATTTATGTGAAAATTTTTTTGACAAATGTTGCCTCACAGTTATATATAGAGATCTCTTTAGTTATCTAATTTGAAGGGGGCCACTTTTGGGATCCAATTTGAATATTTGCCACATTTTGGATATTGCCAGCCCTCTGGCGATCTTTCGCTGTTTGTGCGAAATTTGCAATTTTTGCCAAAAATTCCCATTTTCACCACATTCACGAATTTGGTCAAAAGCGCCATTTTCGGCACAAGCGCCACTCACAAGGCGGCCTGGTGATTTTTCGCCATTTGTGCCAAATTCTAGACTACGAGTAGTCCCCCATTTTTCCTCAGGGATAGTAGAGCGAGCGAAACGCGAGCGCGCGTGAAAATCACCCCACGCGAGAAAAGGCGACACGCGGCGGGGAGAGAGAAAAATGAGGGTCCCTCATTCTTTTCTCGCGTGGGGTGATTTTCACGCGCGGAGCCGCTTAAAAAAAAAACCTTGGCAAATTAGTTGGCTGGGAAATCTGAATGAGCGCCTCGCTAGCTGAAAATATGAAGAATTCATGCCGGTTCTGGTTGGATAAAAAGGTATATTTTTTCTCCTGGCAATCGCACTGTAATTTTTTATATGGATATTAGAGCGAGCGAAGCAAGTAAGTACGCGTGAAAATCACCCCACGCGGGCTGTAGAAATAACACCTTTTGCCTGTAAAAACGGAAATTTGTTTGGGTGTGTAAGCAAAACGTTCTGCTGTGAATACCTTGTAAAAGATATACGTAGTGAGAAAATGACACAGTTGAGTCAAGCACCGCTCACCGCTTTGTCTTTTATAGTCGTTTCGCTGCGATCCTTTATAGAAAACACTTTCGTGTGTTCGTGTTTTAATATGCCTGTCTACATATCAGCTACTGGCCTACGTCCTACTTTAAACCTGATGTTAAGGCTGCCAAAAGGTAAGCAAAATGGTTGTGTTTCTTCTTCAGGTTGCCGTGCATGTGTATCGAATTAAGAACATTCGCTAGTGCACATAAATGCCATCAAATATTGAGACGATTGAATACAAAAACTCTCTCCAATAAATAATACACTCTGGTCTTTTAGCGGAGTGAACTCAGAACTGATTTCATTCGAAATGGCGTAAGATTGGCGTAAGAGTCCTACGCGAGCAAAGCGCGCGAGCCTGTTTTCAGCCTCGTTCCAGACCTTTTAATTGACTGCTCGTGCGTACTTGAATACGCAAAAATACGGACTGTTTTGCAGTCTAGAATGAAGGGCACATACTGGTCATTTCTGAAAGCATCTTTTAGCCAGCAACCATGAATTTCGCAGTCGGTTTTGATTTAAGGCTGCCTAACAATTTGATGGAACCAATGTTGAGAGAATTTCGGCATTTAGAGTTGTTTGGGTCTACATTGAACCTCCAAAGTTAGAGTGTCCATGGCAAGGAATTATTATCATTTCAAGGACTTGGAGGTTGTCTTCTCGAGTAATTAGTGGACTAGCCGTGGGGCGTAAGATTGCTTTGGTTGGCATGAACGAACAAATATTTCTCCTTTTTGTAAGAATTAAGAAAGGAATAAACCATACAAGAGGAAATAATAAAAAAGTGTTTACTTAACCTGTGGTGTACATGGCACAAATACATAAGCTTAATGGATACGATATATTTGATTCAGTTGTATTTGATAAATATTGCCTCGCACTTAAAGGAGCCTCGTATGATATTAGTTATCTAATTTATTTGAATTTTTTTTTGACAAATTTTGCCTCACAGTTATTGGGATCTCTTTAGTTATCTAATTTGTGGGTGGCCACTTTTGGGATCCAGTTTGAATATTTGCCACATTATGGATATTGCCAGCCCTTTGGCGATTTTTCGCTGTTTGTGCGAAATTTGCAATTTTTTCCAAAAATTGCCACTTTCACCAAATTCACGAATTTCGCCAAAATCGCCACTGTTCAAGGGGCCACTTTTTGCATCCAGACGTAGCCTACAAATGATATTTACCACTTATTATAACCGGAAATCCGACTTGATAATCAAACGTTTTGCATACTTCCGTTTGAGAAGCTTTTAAACAATATAGCATTTCATTGAAGGTGATGCATTTATTTTTTCCTACTTTTTCAAGTCTCTTCTGCTGATCATGACACATGACCTTTTACTGAGTTATCCTTCTGCAAGGTCAAATCAGATGGTTGAGCGTTTTATGGAAGAGATTTTCTACCAGTCGGTTTGTGAAACCGTAACCCGCACGCATGGTACGTGCTTTCCAAATCAACTTTGAAGTACTTTGGTCAAGAACAGTGATATCATTAGTTCCAATCTATACCAAACTAATCCTTTTTAATATCATACCGTTGAGAAACAGCACGTATAAAACTTGACACGTTTCCTGTTAAGGTATATAAATTCCGCTTCTCAAGGAGACACGGTCCGGTAGTGAAAATGAGTTTAACAAGACTGCTGTTTTTCCTTCCATTTTTTTGCTCCTTTTCGTCCGTCAAACGTAAGTCAAATGTAGTTCACTTCTGCAGTGTATGATTTTTCCATTACAGAAGTTCACAGCCAGAATTAATCTGACCTGCTGAAACCAGTTGCAGTATGCTAAAATGATAGTTAAAGCTATCGGCGTTCAATTACTATACTGATCTGTGGTTCACACAGACCAAATTTTACAAATCATAAAATAACTGTGCTAGTTTTTGTGGAAAATGCTGCAAGCCATGCAGTTAGTTGGCAAATCGCATGGTCACCTTCTCCGTGGTCCTTAAAAGTGAATGTATAGTTTTATTGGGATTCTTAAGTTTACTAAAGTCTTGTTTTCGGAGTTTGCTATGCTGTTCCAGCATTCCTGACCGAGTTCCAGCACTTATAAGGCTGGTTTCTTTTGTTTCGAAACCTAGAGGTGGATTTGCGAAACTACCATTTTTCATGACTGAAATCTACAGCGTTTTCAATTCATCGATTTTTGTTGCATAAAATTATCCCATCAGGGTAAAACAAAATATGGCCACGCGGATCGGAAAAGTAATCACAACGATGGCAGATGGTCACCAACAAGAGGTCGACGCATGTTAACACTTTAGGGCCCAAGAGTGACCAACATCAATTTTCTCCTAACAACATCAGCAAAGCATCAAGAGTTAACGTTATGAGAATTAATAAATTGACTACCAAAGGGAGAAAGATTTGATCTTAAACCAAATTCTCTCGACTATTTCTAAAGAAATGTACAGAGATCAGCCTGGAGAATTTGTATGTGGACCTTGGGGCTTAAAGGATTAAGAAACTCACGAGCCTCGATATAACGAAGGGCTAAGGCACCGGCCAAATTTGTCACTATAATAAGGTATCGTTATCAACGTTGTCGTTCTTTTTTACTGGAGCATAAAGTATCGTTCGTTACACCGATCGACGACTTCGTCATAAGGAGTTTTTGTCACCATCGAGGTTCCATATTCATATGGCTCAGCTAGCCTGTTTCAGGCTCCGAGACAGTCGGGTCCGCGAAATTGAGAAAGCGCAAACACCTCAGATCACGCACTCATTTTTTGTTTTAACGCGTCATGCCTATTATTTATCTGAGAGCCTGGAACAGGCTATGGCCAAGACTGAAAGCGGAACTATTTTTTAAACAATAAACTTTCAACAACTGCACGCAGAGAAAAGTCAAAAAAAAAGTCTACTCTAATTAGAATAATTATAACTAGTAACAAACTTTAATACAAACAGGTTTCCACTTAATCAACAAAAGCGCAAAACTATCTCCTCGCACACTCATTCAACTACAGTTCGGTCTTAATGGTCTTGGACAATTCAAACAGCCGAGTGCAATCAATTTCGTAGCAAAAGCCGTTATGCCCTTTACCTTATCGCACTCACAAACGATCGGGGCTTCGAAAATTAAAAGGGAGCTACTTACAAACTAATGCGATTTTACAAACAACCCTTCAGCAACAAAACTGAACTGTGTCACAAGTAGCGTCTTTAATTTCCGTGATTTCCCTACACCGTGATATGAAAAATACGCCGCAAACATATACAAGTAGGCACCCAAATTCGAGTCCAAAACACAGCTATCATTATAACCCTGTAAAACATCCTTGCTCAGCAAGAAAAAAGGGCTAATTCTTTCGACACTGGACAGTACCACATATACTCAACACATGCATCCGCTAAAAGAGAATTAGCTTAAAACTTCCACTATTGTCCCTTGAAATAATAATGTCTTCTCTGTGCATAGCATGTTTCGGCCCTCTCGGGATGGAGAGCAGAAAAATAACTGATGGCCAGATCAAAGCTTCAACCGAATTCAACTCTGCACACGGCGCCACCAATGGCAGACTCAATTTCAAGGCTGGAGGGGGGAAGACTGGCGCATGGTCCGCCCGCACCAATGACGTTAATCAGTGGCTACAAGTGGATCTTGCAGCTAAAACCGAGGTGACAGGAATACAGATCCAGGGACGACAAGACGCGGATCAATGGGTTACGAGCTTTACTATCTCCTACAGCAGCGACGGAACCACCTATACATTTTATCACAAGAGGAGGGTATGGAAAAAATGAAAATCGTTGCAAAACAAAGTCAGGCAATTAACTAATTCAATCTCGACTCGGTAACATGAAATTCTCTCAAAACCTCAGGCCCACAAGTACCTAACTAGTTTAACCTTAACACTTCATTTAGCTGATCCAGGTCTTCAATGGAAACACGGACCGCAACACCGTGGTTTTAAACGTTTTGCACCCTTCCATAGATGCACGCTACATTCGGGTGCATCCTAAGACGTGGCATGGCCATATTTCTATGAGGATGGAACTATTGGGATGTCCGTCAGGTACTGACAATCTTTTTCGTTTTCTTCTTAATTAACAAACAACTTCCCACTTACTTTTACCACAGTGGTAGACAATTTACTCGCATAGTCTTTCAACGGCAATTCACTCCTCTTATTATTACATAGTCACAGGCCCAAACAATTTCTTCTACAATTATGTAATCAATTTTATAGAATGACGCCTTGTGGCTTTAAACTAACGATCATGCATAGGAAATACGTAGGCAGCGAAAATCAAAAAGGATCTATTTTTAAACAAATGCAATTTTACAAACAACGCTTTATCAACAATAAGTTGTCTAAACGACATTGTTACAAGCGGTGTCTTTAGCTTAAATTTCCCAAAATCGAGTTGCAAAAAAAATACGAAACAAAGATATGCAAGTACGCAGGGATAATTACCGTCCAAAATCACCATTCTTTGTAACGTGGTAAGACAGTTCCCGCTGAGCCAGAAAAGGTCTACCACTTTCGACAGTAACATTCTGTGATATCGTATCCTTAACACTCTCATCCTCTAGAAAAATTTCATTTTAAACTAGCACTTTAGTCCCTTAAAATCATTTGTTCTCTGTGCAAAGCATGTTCCGGCCCTCTCGGGATGGAGAGCGGAAAAATAGCCGATGGCCAGATCACAGCTTCAACCAACTACAACGCTGCATACGGCGCCTCCAATGGCAGACTCAATTTCAAGGCTGGAGGAGGTAAGACTGGCGCATGGTCAGCCCGTACCAATGACGTTCATCAGTGGCTACAAGTAGATCTTAGAGCCAAAACCGAAGTGACAGCAATAAAGATCCAGGGACGACAAGACTACGATCAATGGGTTAAGACCTTCACTATCACCTACAGCAACGACGGCACCAACTTTAAACCTTATCAGAACGG